AATAATAATAGTAAATAATAATAATTATCGTGGTCAATTCACACAGGGCTATCTAATCCCACGCTAAGCAGTATCAACAGCTTGTGCTTTTAATGTGCGAGCAATCGAAGCAAAATTTTGAATAGAGCAACGACCATCGAATATAAGTAGATCACCTTGACTGTTACCTTTCTCTATTATTTGTTTATTGTTATAAAACTTTTATAAATGTATTTATATATTTTTTTTTTTATTAAATCTGATTACTGCGTTTTCGACATAACCAACAACCATGTCCAACTAATAGCGACATGTCATCAAGGAAAACATATTATAATTCGATATATCAAGATTTAATTACGCTGAAAGATTCTTTGAAGTAAATGAGAAAGTAGCATTATAGCTGTACTGATGTGTCAATATCACAACAGTATGATAGTTGGTGAAACAATAAACAAGATAATACATGATAGACGTAAGCAACGCAGCATCGCTTGCAATCAGTGGTATTCAGAGCAAGGGTTTATTTTCGTTGTCACAGTTACCGTCGCGGCCACTCGGTTTTATTTGGGTTATTAGTGACGCAATTACCTATGATAAACGGGTTTATATTTAGCCTGAAGTGTCTGTAACTCTATTATTGTCTATAGGTCAGTGGTACGTGCAAACCTTATTGTTTACTAATGTTGCACAGAGAAAGAACTTCATTTTGGATTCATACTAATATGACAAATACAATTTCCTCTCATGAATTTGAATTAAAGTATTATTTACGTAGGGTAAATATCCCTACGTAAATAACACTTCTTTTATATATATATTTATTATTTCGTAGCTAGTTTCATTTAGTTCTTAATAATAACTGAAGTATTAAAATTAAATGAAACTAGTTACGAAATGTAATTAATCAAGAGATAATGTACGGTTGATACCAACTTTATCGTAAAGTTTCTGTTATAGAGGTAGTGTAAAAAATATGTACAGTATTTAGAGGTAGAATACGTAGCATAAATAAATATTATAGAAATAAAACTTATATATATTTGGGACATGGTTTACTGCGATATTTACAAAACGAACTCAATACAATAGAAAACATTATTTTCTTCCTTTTAGTTTACTAATTAAATGTACCTACTTTCTATCATTATATAATGCAAATAAATGATATTCTATCTAACACTATTCATATAAATACGAAATACGTTTTTTTCTAATCGGAATGATCAGGCACGAATTTAATTACAAAGTTGCAATAGATAGGTAGAGACTTATTTTTATAAATTCGACAAAAATAATATTAGTATTCATAATATATAGTGAGTATTTTGTACAATATATTATATATAATAAATAGATATTTATTATTTAAGTGAAGACGTGAATCAATATTTACAAGGTACACAGAGACGTATAACGGATGTAGGTACATATCATCATATACCATATGGTTTATCGAGACGCAGGGCGGTCATATCGTATTTTCGAAGGCTGAAAATGAGGATCTTATAATTTCAATGTTTGCTATATTATATTATACTTATGCAAACATTACATAAGATATGTATAAATTAAAAATAATTTTCAGATAGTACCTACAACTTGCTTTGCTATAATCAAAGGTGGTCATATTTTTTTTTGTGTGTTTTTAAGTATGAAGATATTTAAATTTTCCACTACAGTGAAGAGTATTTACAAATTAATATTAAAGTATATAATAACTTTTTTCACTTGTTAGGTAAAGCAGCTAACCGTGAATTGCTGTTTTAGCACTATATAAATATATTGTCTACGGAAAAAGTATAAACTCTACTAAACAAGACTGTTCACGTAATATTGCATTCATATACAGTCATCATAACAACTTAATTATCAACATTGGTAGCATTTGAGAGTTGATATGAAAATACGGAGTATGATTTATCAAACATTACGGGGAATATTAATACATATGTCGCCAGTGATTTTTATTGTTTATTTTTATATTATAGATTAATACATATATATATTTTTAACTTGTCTAATATCTTGATTTCAGCAGACCTTATTTTATACTGATTTATGTTTGTTATTTCGTTTTCAATAATATAATTTTGATTACTCATGAGAAGACTATAAAATTAGATGAAATATATCTACAAAATACAGTCTGATAGTAGATACTGCATGTTACAGAATTGATTTAAATAGTTCTAATCTAGCTATCAGATTATTTATTGTCTTGTTTATGCTACATTTTCTAATCTGTACAATCATTTGTACCTGGCACCCTGGTAGTGTAGATTAACTGTAGCTGTTAAGGAGAGAGTAGACAAACATGTGACATTTTGTAATGGAAACATTGACATTCTGATAGTCGCGGGTTTGATTCCCAAACAAAGCAAACATTTGTACTCGTGAGTATACTGTTTGTTTTGATCTGAGTGTTTTCATCATCATCTCAGCCCGGAAGACGTCCACTGCTGAACAAGGGACTTCCCCAAAGATATCCACGTCGATAGGTCCTGCGCTGCTCGCATCCAGTGCCTGGGTGTTTTATTTTATATATTATTTATACATTTACATAATTTAAGTATTTCTCTTAGTTTTCTAGTGCTAATAATAGCTCAAATTCTGTTTAGTTTGGAACTAGAGAATGCTGTTTGATTCGTCCAGGATTATTTGTTTAGATTATTATTCAATAAATAAACCATTTTTTAGATGACTGATGATGAACAATTTGATAGATTATTTATTCAACCAATTAACTTCCAATTGCAGACGGCACAGGTCCTTCTGTTAACGGAGGATGTTATCCTACTATCACAACATCAAATGTTTCAATTTCCATTTAGTACTAATCTAGTATAAACGTAATAAAATAATCTACTGTTTACTACCCAACAAAACAGACCAATTCTGTTTTTATATCTGTTGAAAATTTATTTAATTTTTCTAATCATTACACTATTATATTTTGGGGATGAGTGATATATGATATAGTGAGAATATAGGAATACTGTAATATATTTTTATAGCGTCGTCACACAGCTATGCGCACGCAACATTAATACTTACATTTTCCAGATAATCATCTTATTCTTAGTCATATATTTAATATTTGTGTATAAGACTATATTATTATCTATATACTTCAAGATAACAATTATTTGTTACATAAGCAAATTGTACTGGTTTTAAAGACAATAATGAAATGATGTCACTTGCTTCTATACATATTTGTATCTGTAAATGGCCCGGAAATACAGATTATTTAATCTGTATTTATATTAATTACCATAGACTGTACCTGTATTTACAGGTACAGTCTATGGTAATTAATATTGTATGATAAGAGGTATAACATGTTAGGCCTATGGAATAGCAACGCAAGGGTCATGGCAGTCATAGCAGTTATACTTATACATGGGTGATGGTTATGGTTTACCATCAAGGCTTCATTGTAATTCAATTACATAAAAAAATGGTAACAGGAAGCTCATTCTTATTTCATGTGGAAATACTTGTGCACTAGTATTATATATATCATGGATAATGAGATTACGAAGATTTTGATTTCAGACATGATCATGACAGTAACAAGACTTAAGATTTAAAACACAAGATAGTGATAAAGATTATCACTAATACATATGTGGTCTCTGGTTCATTTAATTATGTTAGGCTATTTTTTCCATTAAATTTCTAATTTAAACATTTAAACTTCCAATTCTTATCTCATGACTTTATCTATCTATTATTTTTATTATTATATATATTGTTCGAATCGAATACTTAAGCAACTATTACAAATTTTCTTTCTGTAATGTAGATAAAAAGTAACCAGGCTAGTCCCAGTCAATGAACTCACTCACAACTTTGTTTATACTTTGACTAGCATTAAATGGTGAAATTAATATCCATAAAATCTAAATATTTAAAAATATTTAGATTTTATGGAAATAGTTTGTGTCACAATATTTATCAACATGCTTAAAGAACCTAATTTAAAAGTACATATATTTCATAATTTTAATTCATCATCATTGCCTTGCCTTTATCCCATTACATAATTTTAATTGTAGCTATTAATTCATTTAGTATTAATTATTATTACGAACTTTCCTTTTAAAATTGTTCCATATAAGTGTGTCGTTGCATCTGTTTTTTATGATCTTTTGGAATCTATTGGTTTGACCGAGGTAATATTTATATATTTTGCATACAAATTAGTCTAGAAGTGTATAATATTGTATAAAAATAATCTTCCGTTTATGAAATTCCAGAATTTTCTATATTTCGGAAATCCATTCAGTGTTATGCTTATTAGGTACTGGCGACAGTTTTTTGTGCGTGCTTATATCTTGAATACGATCATAATATTGAAGGCGATTATTTGTGCATTTTGCATTGACTTATGTGTTTATATCAACAAGTGTAATGTTGCCAAAACGACGCCGCCGAACGTAGTTCACGTCGGGCAGTAACGGCCGCCAACGGCCAGCGGCCCAACTCGTGGCGCGGACGCTGCCAGAATCGCATTGCGATTTACACGTGTTTTATTTTTAACAAATAATCATATATAACAAATTTTTAATAAAAAAAATACTTCTTCCAGAAGCTTCTTAATAAACCTATCAAAAGACCAATAAAGCGCTTCATCTTTATGGACTTTCAAAAATATCAATTTCTTGTTGATCATTTGACTGACATGTGTTAGTCTATTTTATGTAAATATTTACATATTTAAAATGTAACAATTTTGTTAAACTGAATGAATTCCTATTTACAATGCTAAACAAGGAATAATAACAATTCGTCTCTATTAATGCCTAGCTAATGCGGTCGTACTAGACAGCTGTCTCGCGTGCCCATCTAAATTATTTTTGTAGCTCATTCGAGGCCTGAACACGGATCATGTTCGCAAAATTTATTCAGTTATTGACTGTTGTCGGGCATAAATAATAATTCCATTAAAACAATTACGCTTTATTGGCGTCAAAACGCCGCGGAAATTTTTAAGATGAGTTTCATAGACGAACCTTGCACACTCCAATAGTTCTTTGTTGGTTGAGAAGCTGGCTCCACCGCCGAACGTGACGATGGCCAGCAACGCCAGCGACAGCGTCCACATGACTTGCTACGGTCGCGCAGACCTATGCCGGATCGCACCTCTTGCGCATATAGACACTTTACACATACGCCGCTTACACATCGTCAGCTAATGGCACATCACTTCACTGGGTTCAGGGGGGTGCATCCAGGTTGCTGAGTTGGATACGGCTCGAGGTCCGAGAAGCAGCGAGCGCGGAGCGATACTGCGACGGCGGACGGCGGACGGCGGACGCTATCGCGGCGGGCGGGCGCGGTCACGGGCGCAACCTTCGCTTCCGTGCGCTCTCACCCTGTGACGCGCTGCGAGAAAAACTATTGCTACGCAACCGATTACGCGGTGCGGCGTGTGCGATCCGATCGTAAACTGCACCGATACTTTGCACTCTCTCAAGTCTCGTTCACTGTGACGTCATAGAACAATTATATAGCTTTATATACATTGTGATATGACTAAAATAGAGTAATTATTCAGTTAGTTAAGCTAGTAAAAAATATCCCTGGGTGGGTTAAAACGTCGTGTCGAGTTCGCGTGACAGAGACTGCCGTGCCCAACCGACAATATTTAGAGTTTCGCAAATCTACTAGGTTGTAACTGAAATAAACAAAGGTGATTTAGCTCCTAATAAGTTTAATAACTATACATATCAAAAGTTTCACCTAGTATTTGCATATTTATATTGTCAGGCCGTGTCTTCGAGAATAAAATTACCGTTCTATATTTTTAAATTGAAGTCTTGATAAGTATATACAAAATATGATACCGAGGGAATATTATTGATTATTTCAATGAACAAGAGCTTGCGTGCAATCATCGCGAATTTATATAATTCCATTGCAATATTAAAGTAAGTCTGTACACTAGAATAGAAACGAAACCATATTGGATAGACACCACCAAATCAACAAACGGCAAATTGTTTCAATGTTCGCTATATTCAAAACGATCGAGGCTTATCGTGGTGATCCAATGATTACTTCTGAAGCAATCCTAAACGTTAATGATGTTTTCCAAGCATAAAATGGAACAATGTTGTTTTCAAGTATTTTTAGTACAGCAGCTTCAATAAGAAAGATTCATTTTATAGAGCACGGTTCTGTTTTTAGAACGAGACACGTCAATTTGTGATTGAGGTTTTGTTGATATTTATAATAAAGAAAATATAATGATACTTGACATATAAGTACAATATTCTTGAACAACGTTATGCAATTAAATTACTTACTACTAAATAGGCACTTTTGTATGTGTGACATACCATCAAACGATAATTTATACTTTTGTATATAATTGACACTTTCATCTCTAAAAGAAGTTCTTTTTAGAAGAAGTAATTTTTCATTATTAAACAACACTAAACAAAAAAAAAAAAGATTGAAAACATTTTCAAAAACTAAATTAAATAATAAAATAAATTATTCATTCATGATAGTATGATAACAAGGGATTGAAATTCCTCCCTCATACATTTTAGAAAGTAACAATCAGTCTTGGGTCGTATCAGGTCGTAGGTCAGTATCTAGTTAATGGAGATTTGATTATTTTAATTAAATATAACTACCTGTGCATTATTATACGAAACGACGTAAGTAATGTCGTTAGTTTATAACGATACAAAGGTCTTCAGTATTTAATATTAATAGTAAACAATTTAATACACAACATCTCCTTTTACGATATGGTATTATGCTGCATCACGTTTAAGTGTGTGTATTTATTAAACCGCACTTGACTGGTTTCACTTCGTTTGTGCGAAGTTAGACAACATGCTGTTATAGACGCTCTTACAACATCTGATATTATTTTTGAATAGGTATACATCTATAGAACTTGCTATTGTACAGATGTACCTGATTTGCTATTGTACGTTACATTTTAAAAATATTTACTGCCAGGTTCAAACCGCAGTTTTGATTTCGTAAAAACTAAGAACCTCAGAAATACAAATTCTTACATGAAAGTTACGGCTATTCCGTAGACAAAAACTTTGTGTATGAATTTGTATTTCAGATATATTTTCCAATTATATCAATATTGATATCAAACCAAATCAATCGGTGAGATAGCGGTAACTTTGCCGTGCTATGTTGGATTTAATACTTAGATGACAAGTTTTGCTTACACTACGACGTGACAACGTTGACATTTGAAAATGCCTTTGATTGTACTGTAACAGTCCTGAAGGCATATTATTATTATTATACGTTTCCTTGCACTTGCAACTTTGATACTTGCATTCTTTTGAAGTCAAATGTCAGGTTGGCGTTATGTTCTTTGATTATTTAGAAATTATTACAGCATACTCAACCAGCTATAATCTCATGTTATACTTTTTATAAGACATTTATTTTATATTTAAGAAAGACCTTATTCACTAATTTAACGTAGAGCGAATTCAATTTAAATATGAATAAAGTCGCAAGTATATCGTAAAATGCGGCAGGTTCGTTTGCGGTTTGCGGTCTGTTTATTTAAATATCTGAAGGAAAACGCAATCTTTATATTGCTCATTAACAACAAACAAATAATATAAGTATATTGCATAAGTTATAACGCTGTTTATTGGGCATTGGAAGCCCACGTCACCTTCACCATTAGGTATTTACAATGGCCTTTTCATAGTTTATTCCTGTACGGCAGTTTGAAACGTATGCATCTACATTTCATGTGTGTATATAGGCAACCCTTAAAGATTACTAATTAATTATTTTGTTTTTTAATAAAATGCAATGGTAGAATAGTTAACGGTTCGTCTTATTTTATCATGTGGAAAAATTTTCAAAAGACCGTCTCCTCGCCAGTGTGTATAATCTCTGTGTGGAACGAGTGCCAATGCCGGAGTCGGGAGTTCGTGCTAACATTCTAGTGCGACTTCAGCAGCCTTATCTACTCACCAAGCACCACTGATATATTGTAATTCCATGACGGCCGTTACACCCCCCATGCGTTTTTGTCATGTCACCATAAAATGTAGTTTTATAAATTGAATATTATAATAATTTAGTAAGAGAAGAATAAGTTCTAAAAAAGTACATAGGTACTTATATTTGTAAAATAATGGATTTTTAAATATTGCTTTTACTTATAGAACTCTCATTCATTCCTCTTATTTCTTTTTCTTTAAAATTAAAAGCCTAGCATTTCACAGAAGCTTTATTCAGTGGTTGCCAATGTTATATGAGAAACTAAATAGTATAAGATTGTACCGATCAACGGCACACATTTAGCACCTGGGCTTCAGAAAATGGCGCTAAAAATATATACGAGGTTTTCGAAATGTGTGAAAGTGTCGTCACTGGTATGGTCGCCCGGGACGTGGATCGTCGCAGTTTCATACAGGGTTAACAAAAGTTCGAATGTACATTATCAATCCATCATATAGAGTTAGTGTTTATAATAGATAATTTTGCATTCATATAACTGAAGATGAAACCTTGTAATGCATACATAATACGTAAATAAATTAACTATAACATCAGTTTAAATACTACTTATAATAACACAATATTAATATACACTGCAGATGCTCACGTAATGCCTATATATGTAATGTTAATTTGTTATGATTTTCTTTTACAAATGTAAGAATATTATGCAAATGTGTGTGAACAAATAAATAAGTCAAAATATCAAATAGCTTTAAAAATAATAAAATAAATAAATAAACTTATTATATACACATACTAAAATGCAAGAAATGGTTATAGACGATAGTTATATGAAAGAAATGATTACTTATTGGGGGACTTTATCAACATAGTTTATTGTTTGTTTTATTCTATTCATTTATAAACAAAAAAGTTATAAGTAAAATATTGCTACGTCGAACACCACAGGAAATTTATCAATTTAGGTATTTCACTTTGGTTTATGGATTTATATTATTTTGTTTAATTACGCTACAATTAGCACATAAGAAATCATAAATATTCAATGCAGTAATCTGACTACTGATACTGGAAACATTACCTTTTCTTCTAGTTAAATTAAATCAAATTCCAACTGTTATTGAATCTACATCCATATTGCTTGTTTCGCTTCAGAATTATTCGGCAGTTTTAGGCAACAAATAGAGCTCGCCTGTAATTTGTAAGCCTAGTGTTGACTATTCAGTAACCAGACTACACGGGTTAAGTAATGAACACTACGGGTACGAAGTCGTATGCTAAATTTATAGTTAACTAGCTAATTGTATACAGTAATTTATGAATTTACTTGTTACAAAGTTACATACAAAAATATCAACGCTTTTCTCTGTACATATATTGGTATAGACAGCCCTGTTTATGTATAAATACAGAACTGGGACGCGGAATGGTATGAGACAAATCGAGCAATGACGCCCGGTCAGCGTCGCCGCACCGCGCCGCGCCGATGTCGGGACGGAGAGACGGCCTTGTGAAGCACTGTCTGCATGCAGTCTCCATGATGTACTATGATGACTACTGACGATGGCGTTAATGTGACTTTTAACCTCAAATCTAATACATATTAGCTGGTTCAACTATTACAACAAATAGGTAACAAAGAAACGAGTAAAGGCTCTCCTTTACTTATTTTCTGAAGGAGAGATATGCAATGTATATGCAAGTCAAAAAATATATGAAAGTCCCAAATAATTATTATTATTAGATTCTAACTTGTTCCGTATTCCGAATACTTCCTTAGTATAAGCAGGTTGTATCACCGGCTTGCGTACAAAGGGCGCTTAATAATACTGGCCACAAATAATAGCATGTGGCCACATCAAATTGAAATTTAGAATAAAAAAGTTACTGAAAATAAGAACTGGATAAAAAAGACACTAAACAGTATCGAGACATTCTTGAGCGAAAGTGAGTAAGTTTGTTGTTATATTGCTTACTTTGTGGTGTTCGGAGTGTGGAAGACGTTCTTCCAGGTCGAAATCGTATTTCTCCTTCCTTTTCCAATTATATCTTTCTTTTCAAACAATACAGTCTATTCTCTAGTTTATTTATTACTTTATAAGGATTCGTAATCCAACATAAGTAATAGCGTAAATTTGAATAAACATTATACACATTATAATAAAATTTATCTATAGGTTTCTATACTCTGGTATATTTCCATAGTGCCATCATTGTAATTTGTGTGTCGTTTGTCTCCATAACTCAACCAACAACCAACTCAACCAAACTCAACCCAATGTAATTGAGCATCACCATATTTGGTCATATTATCTATGTACTATATTTGAGTTTATCAATGCAGAGATTTGTTCGGTCCCTTTCTCGTATGTTTTATCACCAGCAACTTATACTAACTAGTTAGAATATATATTTGTGTTAATTGAATAGTCAAACTGAGTGCTTGACAAATCTTCA